TTATGGATTCCATTTGTTTCCTATGTTGGGATTCCATCATGTTCCTCAGCTCCTCTCTAGATTTATTAATCATGTCTTGCACTATGAGCACAATCTCTGCTGTTATCTGAGAAATTATTTCTGATTTCCTTTTCCTCAGATCCTCTTTTGTTGCCAGTTCAGGGAGTCCAGATGGTTGAGTATCAGAGTGCTTCATCTCCTTTCCCTTTGGGGTTGGTGTAGTTGAACTGGAAGTCTGGTTTTGAGACTTGTTTAAGTGTGTTGTCATTTAGATGGGGGGAGGGCAGTTGGGACTGTGTGTGTGCTGCTGCCGTCCATGCGGCTTACCCCTCTGCACTTGGAATGGTGCTATGGTAGCCTGGAAGCCTCCTCCTCTGTGGTGGGAGCAGTGGTATGGTGGCCCCGAAGCTCTCTCCTCTGTGCAGCCTGGAAGCCACCTCCTCTGTGCTGGGAGCATCACTACGGTGGCCCGGAAACCTTCTTCTCTGTGCTGGGATTGGTGGTACAGTGGCCCAGAACCCTCCTCCTCTGAGTGGCATGGAACCCTCTTCCTCTGCACTGGGTGTGGTGGTTCGGTTTCCCAGAAGCCTCCTCCTCTGCTCTGGGAGTGTGGTATGGCAGTCCAGAGGCCTCCTCCTCTGCACTCTGGCCCATATTTGTAATGCAGCAAAAGGTAAAAAAATTGCTAAGAGATGAACATTTAGCCCAGGTGTTCCTTGTCTACATCCAGAAATATTCATGCCTGAGCTATGTGTTGTCTCTTTTACTCCAATTTTGCCTCACAGGCTACTTTACCCTTGGATTCAAATTAGTTCCTTGTGGAGTGCCAAACATAGGGAATAGGAATGGGGATGTTACCTAGACCCTCTCAGTGGGTCTGCAGTCTTCTATGAGGTACTATAGTACAAGCTGATAAGTGTAAAGAGAGAAATGAGACTTAGAGAGAACTGGATCTTGGGGCTGATCAATGATGCTCTGGGCAGCAAAGACAAAGTATGCCAAGGGCATCTAGAATTTATTATGAGTGTGGGAAGGTGAGCAGGGGATGTTCTGAAGACATCTAGTAACATAGTGTGAAGCATCTAGATACATCCAGCTGGATGCATCTGGCAATGGTTGATATGCAGACAGGGATAGCTGATATGCAAACAGGGATGTAAAGGGGGGAAGGCACTGCTTATCTTGCTTGAAGAGATCAAAGAGTGTTGAGACTGGGTTGGAACTAACCAGAGTCTGTTAATACTGGGAAGAGATGTCTGCTATAGCTCCCTCTTTGCCCTTCTGTGGCATCTTCATCTAGTTTTGGTGTGCATTAGGAGGAAAACAATCCAAAGGGAGGGTCCCAGAAGCCAACCAATGCTCCAGGAGGACCCAAATATGATCCTTTCATTAGGCAACAGAGAAAGGGCTGTGTCAGCATTTAACTCTCCTGTTGTCCAGGTCCCCTTCAGTGCAGATGCAAAGTCTGCAATGAAATTTTTCTGGATTTTAAAGTGACCAAAGCATATCCTTGTCACACAGAGTAACCCAAAAGCCTGACAGTGCTTCCTGTACTGTTCAGGGTATACAGAGCAGGTTTGAGCAGAGAAGGTTGGGGGTAGCAATGAAGCTCTGTATCAATTGTCCAGTGATTGCTGTTTTGAGATGTGCCCACCACACAGTATTTTGAGCCCCTGGACAACAGAGGCCTGACCTCACTGCTCATTGCTGGATCCCAGGCCTGGTAACGTTCCTGGCCCTGGACACTGATCACTAAGTACAGAGAGAACATGCTCTGCACCTCAGACATTGAAAGAAAGGCGCATGTTGTCACTGTTTGAGGTCAGCAGTTTTGGGGGCTGTGTGCAGCAACAGATAGCTGGATCCCTACACCTAGGCCTGGGCCCCTGAAGACAGAGCCCTGGACTTGATTCCCTGTGTTGCTGTATGGCATCCTGTGGGATCTTCTTGAGCTTATGCTGTCCTGTCCTGCTCTGACCTCAGGCAATTGCAAAGGAAAGTGGAGACAAAGAAGTCAGTACACTCTCAGAAGGAGAGCAATATGGGTAATTATGAGCTGCATATGCTGCAGAAGAAATCTGATTTCATCTTTAACAGATTTATTTTTACTTTGTCCATCACTATGTAGGACACAGGCATTAGAAGGGTGATGTGTAAGAAGCTTCCAAGATGACAGTGGTACCCAGCGGAGGGATGCATGATGACTGACTGCAGTACTGAAACATTCTGTGACTTCACTTATATTTATTATCCCCCTTTCATGCCTGTGAGCTTTGTAATGTGTAATTACTGCAAACACAAGTGGAAAATGTAAAGAACACATCTGTTCAAGCTTTCTCAAGAATGATTTAATGCTACATAGGGCTACAAAATTACAAACACAAGAGTGAGTCCTGCTCTAGGAATCTCTAGGAGATGTGGACTTACTGGAAGGGCATTACAGCATCCAGGTGCCAACAGCACAGTTCTTTCTGTGGTCCTGATGCTCCACCACAGTGTAGGTACAGTTCTGATGGTAGAAGATGGCATGACACTCAATTTTGTCACAATCCAGAGGTATAGCAGCTCTGTCATGGTAAAAACACCAAGACCTGTTAGAAGGATGTGACTGAAACCAATGCCATCCTGCAGCCCTGTTGAATGGGAACCTGCCCATCAATGTGGGGCATGCCTTTGCCAGCAGCCCAAGAGCATGGCTGCAGACTTCTGGATCTGTGTCACTCAGAGTCACATAGACATTCTGTTTGGACCAGAGCAGGTCTTCCAAATGCTGGGAAAGGGAAGTCTCACCCAGCCTGGACCTTCCCACCTTTCTCTGTTCAGAAAGTGGAAAGCACTGCCAATGGAGATCTATAGGAAGACAGCTCTGTTCCTGAATGGCATGGTGGCCTGTCATCAGAGGAATAAACTCTCCTAACAGGAGCAAGGAGCCACCCAAGCCAGGGTCAATTCACCCAGGGATATGTTAATCAGATTCAGTCCACATTTTTAGGACCATCTAGTGATCCCTGAGTGGTGCACAGTTTAGGGGTCATTGCCTCCAAAAGCCTATCTCATAGCCCTGGATTTAAATTGCCCTTAGATGACAGGAGCAGCCATCACCAGGGCCCCTCAGGAAAATGTTTTCTTCCATTAGGTGACCTTGGATTTGTATTTTATAAAAGGAGAATGTTCCATTCCTTTTATGAAGCTGTCCTATGTAGTGGAGATCCTCCATGGTTACTGCTGAGTCTCCTGGACTATGGCACTCTTAGCAGCTGTGATTCAATGAGAAGGGGCATAGATCTGATCCCAGGGACCAGGAAAATGGGCAATGACCCACAAGACCAGGTATAGAAGACAACTTTAAATCATCATTTTGTGAATCACAGCAAGTGCAATCATGCCCTGGGCTCTATGGTTCTTGTGGCATCAACTATGTTATGGTTAAATTGCATTGCAAAATATTTTGAAGAGGTATGATGTGATCATATGGTAATGACACTGTCAAGTTAAGTGGATACATTTGACTATACAATAGCAATGTAATATTTCATATGAATGTCAGAAAGAAAAACTGTTTAAGAAAAGAGAAACTATGAAAATAAGTTGAGGGTTATTATTTTTAGGCAGTGAAATTATAAGTCTTTTCTTGTACTTCTTAGTAATTTTATAACTAATGTGTTTTTCTATATAAATATGAGAAAGTGTCCTTTCAACTTTAACTTTTAAAAGCTTGTGTGCAGATGGGGTTTGATATGGTACATGTCCAGTGGAAAAGGCAGTTCCTCAAGAGTTAAGCCCATAGTTCCATAAGGCACAGCAATGCCACTCCCGGTACAGAGCCCCAAAGAATGGAAAGTAGAGACACAAACACACTTGTATGTCCCAGAAGTGTTATTCACTATGGAAAAATAAAAAGAGCTGGCATCCAATGTCCCTCCTGAATGTATAGTCCATGTGTAGGGTGGCAGTGACCTAGAATGTAGCTATGGTGTGAAGGAACAGAGCCCCAACTTGCAGAAATGGGGCTGCACTGTACACAGCTGCTCAGAGAAATAAGTCCACACAGCACACCAGCAACTTGCGTTCCCCTGAAATGAATGATCTTGACACGGCACAGTTACAGAGACAGAAGGAGTAGACTTTAGGGTTCCATGGGTGGGTATGATTGAGGAATGAAAATTACAGTTTAAAAGTTTCACTGCTTTGGTTTGATGTCATTAAACACACTTGGAAAAATCCTGGTACAGTGCTGAAGGACTGTTATTTCCACTCCCTGGGGAGGTGAGGTAGGAGAATTTCAAATTCAAGGATACTCACTCCAGATAGAAATAAAAACAAAGAATACACTACTCTAAAACATTGGAAAGTAATGGTGATGGCTTCAGTATAGTTTGAATATATTTAATATATTTAATGTCATTCAACTGTACAATTTTAAAATGGTTAAAAGCTCATATTATTACATATAATATATATGGTTCCTTTCAAAAAATGATTAAAATACTTTGCAAGTTGTTTTTAGTATATGAACATGCACAACTCTGCCATTTGTGAGCAAGATCAACTTGCTAGGACAAAGGATGATCACTGGATAAAACTATAACTCTACTTACATGTAGCATGGGATTGGATACAGCTTAGAAAGACCCAGCACAGACACCATTTACATTAGGTGGTTAGATGCCCAGAGATGGGGCTGGGTGAAATTGACCCTGTGATTCCCTCACTGCACTCTGGGACCTGGGCCTGGGGAGGGCTGGATCTGGGTACAGCAGAGGCCAGGACATCTCCCTGCCCTGTTCAGGGAGCCCCAGCCTGGGCCTGACAGTCTAAAGACTTGGATATCTGGGCAGTGTCCTGCAGAGGTGCCATGGTGCCAAATCTTGTCCCACAGAAGCTGAGCTAGATGGGTACTGTGCCACACCCAAAATAAAAATGAAAGATCATGAGAAAACAGACATGGTGAGAATTGAGGCAGATCCAGGGAATCAGGAGCTAGTTCTCATGTTGAGGACAAGCGAGCATGTGTGCCATGGTGGAGGAACATGTCACATGGGACAGGAAATACTGCAGAAAGGAAGAAAAGGGTACCTGAAACCCTTACTGTGTACCAGTCACAGCCCTAGTCCTGTGACCACAGACCCGGCCCAGAGGAGCTGCCTTGTTCTTACTGGGTGAATGGATACCTGCAGAATCTCACTCAGTTCTCACATTCACCTGATCATGACTACCTCACAATGAGGAAAATGAGGTTCAGAGAAGTTCAGAAACTTCCTCTGAAACACACAGAGAATATAAAAAGAAAAGGAGATTCAGACTCAGGTCACTGCACCTCCAACATCAATATTCTTTCCTCATCATTACTACCACCAGGCCATACTCTTCTGCACCCGAGTCCCCTGGTACCCACACAGGATAGTCCTATAGACATGCTGGGACGACCCTGAACTGAAGAGCAGAAGAAAGTCTACATACAACAGAGAAGCACTCTCTTGGGAGGAAGCAATGTTCCATCAAACCTGACTGTGATCAGGACACAACCGCACCTTAGAGTCACACTATTAGTTTGCTGCAAAGACATAGTGAAATAGCCAGATCTGAAAATCAAGATATCACTGTACAAGACCATTGCACTGCAAGAGAGGCTCCTCCAGATCCCAGCCTCAGATTGGCCATCAGACTTTTCTCCTTCACTGTGCACTATCAGGCCTCTCAACCCTTGTAGGCAAAATGTTTGAGACACTTAAATTCCTATAGGGCTAGGATGTTCTCATGAAGTCTGTTGTGCACTATTCTATTCAGAGGAGTAAGATAAGACTCAGTGAGACTCCTGGAGAGATTCCAATTTGGAGGTAAAATTGAGAATTGCTACTTTACACCAATAATTCTGGCAGCAAAGATGCTCTTTTGGGGAACAGGTGTAGCTCAGTTGTAGATCACATTCGTAGTATACATGAGGTTCTTGATCTTTCACAACAACAACAACAACAAAAACAACACTCCTCCTCCTCCTGTTTTTGGAATAGTTTAGATGCTAAGGACTAGTATGCATGGGAGTGGCAGTATCTGTGCTCTACCTTAACAAAGGCTACATTGTTGGCATCCATAGAAGCCCAGCCCACAACTTCTGCAGAAATCTTGCCTGCCTGGAGTTCAACTTGAGCCAAAAGGTACACAGAGCTTACATGACAAGGCACAGTATGGATCATCCCTGACACCTCTCAGCTCATCTCTCTAGCTTTGCTCACAACACGTGGTAAAACTGCAAAGTCAAGGATATATAGCCATAAGTACAAATCGGAGAGACCATGAGGTCTTTAGATACACTTTCCCTGTGCACAGGAATCTGTGTGAATGTGGGTATTTCTGAAAAAATTGCTGATTGCATTTCAAAAATAGCTAAAGAAAAAGAAAATGAAGGTTAAAGCAAGATGAGAGTTACTTCAGGGACATGATAAACAAAAAGTGATTCAGCCATACAGTTCAGTATCATAGCTCTTGAAGAGGAAGGACATTCCAACACACTGCAGCATAGATAAATCTTAAGGACACCATGCTAAGTTCAGTTAATTAGCCTCAAAAGGTTAAATGGTGCAAGGTTCTGTTATCTGAAAGCCTCTTAGAGGTGTTATGCTTTTGGATAGAGAAAGGACAATTGGAGTGGCCATGGGCTTGGGGAAGGGGAGGGCAGTGATGGGTGAAATTGTGTTGAGATTTAGTTGTGAAAATGAAACAAATCTGGGCATGTGTGATGAATGTTGCATGGGCATGTGTATGAATGTATCTAATGGAATTGAACTGCAGAAAACACACATGGAAACTAACTCCACCTTACACACTCACACTTCCAGAATGCTGCCTCATGTAAACTCTGGACTGTGGGTGATGAGAGATGTGATCAAGGCTCATGAAAAGCAATGAATATGCCCTATGTTAGAGGTATAGGTGGTAACAGTTGGGGCACCTGGAAATGCATTTTGGTGGAATAGTTGAGAATTTGGGGAATTTCAGCTCAATTTTGCTCTAAACCTGAAACTCTACTATGAAATTTTATCACCAAGAGCATGCAGAGGATGAGATATTGATCAGTGGAGAAGCCTCTTTTGACAGATAGCCATGTCCACCTTGGCCACAATGACCTGAGACTCACATTTTGCAGCATTTAATTCCTCTCTCATTGCAAGTGCAGTTCTCACAGTACTTGGTATTCCAATTTGAATTCATTGGGTATGTGATTCCATCAAGATACTTGCACACTGAAATAGCACAAATGACATAATCAGTGGAGTCCCTAGCTGTGTGATAGGAAAAAAGTTTGTGAGAGGCCAGGGATGTAGCTCAGTGGAGCTGTGTCTGCCTGGCAAGTGCAAAGTCCTAATTTCCATTCCCAGAAAAGAAAGGCTTATCAGGAAATGGAGGCTGGTCCCTCATATGTGACCATAAGAAATTTCACAGTTGTCAAAGGAAGTCTTCTGTATTCTTGAATGGCTATAGTCTAATACTGTGTATTGTTTGTAACTAATAACATTTATCTGCACCAAATTTAAATCTTTCAAGATTATGTTTCCATGCAAGCATTTAGTGAATAAGGAACACCGTCCTCTTTAATGTTATTAGAGCCACAAGTCACTTGTAGTTCCACATTACCCTGCTTGAACATCTCAGAATAATTTTTTTTTGCATTTGTGCTTGTTTTGTTTTGCATCAGAGTATCTCAATCCTTTGTGTGACTGTGAATATCTTAGGGAGTAAATAAAAAATTGTATAGAAGATCACATGCTCAGAATGCACAAAACACTAGATTGCCCAGCACCCAAGGAAACAAACAAAACAATGCAAACAAATTAAGCCTCTGGGACTTCTCCTCCTTTCCATGCCCTGAGCTATGAGATCCAGATCTCTGGTTGTGGACACATTAGACCATGTGTTCAGAATACAAGAATGCTCTTCAAGTGATCCCAGCATTCAACCAAGGCTTAGACCTGCTGCTAAGACCACTGAGGCCCACGTGTACTTGCAGGACTCACACTCCTGCACTGGAAATGCATTTTCACACTTGCTTCCAGCTTCCCTGAGATAGCACCTTCTGGTTTTTAACACTCCCTGGGCTTAGTGGGCACTTCAGTTTATGGATATACCTCTTTGGGTGCTGAAAGCCATTCTCAACCCTAATTGCATGTGGGGGTCAATCGAGGAGCTACATAATGTACAGCTCTGAACCCAGGGACTCTTCTTCACCAGGTCTTTGATGGAGCTTGAGAATTTATGCACTTCAAAAGCTCTGTAGGAAATTCTCAGTCAGATAGAATTGAGAATGTTTGTTCCATATACAGGCCACAGTGGAGACCCTCGTTTGACTCCATTTGTGTGTCTCACTAACCCTCTGCCTAGGTAGATTCAAGCACATTCACCTAGCAGCAGGTCACATCTACCAGGTTGAAGCAACATAATGCACACTGAAACTAGGACTTACCATGTGGGGAACTGACATCACTTACTTTCATGGGAATGAAATAACAAAAAGCACTGCATGAAGTCATGAAGGTGGCCAGGACCATGAGGCTTCCCCAGAGAACTTTCTGTAATGTAAGGACAGTCATGACAGAGAGTGAGTGGACTTGGACCCTCATCCTGGACTGAGACTCACACTGAGGCCTCCCTGCAGTGATCTGGCAAATGGATCTGAAGGGTAAATCTTCTTCCCTCAGGTGACCCAGCCAGGGAACCAGACCTGCCCTCACTGAGAAAATGATGGATGGATTTAAACATGTTTACAGTACAATGAACACTGAGAAATTAGTGAAACAAAGAATAACTCAAATGGAGGCTGCTTAATGCCTTGGAAAATTGGGAAACCACAAATAGCACAGGTTGCAGCTGTCTGAGAACATGGGGACTCAGAAAAGAACCTAGCAGAATCACAGTTGGCAAGGAGAAATGGTATGATCCAAAAATCACTGGATTTCTTTTAGTGACTTGAAGCCAGGTACAAATCAGCCTAGGTGCCATGACAGTTGTGATGAATACAAAGATGCTCACAAACAGACTGCCGGGCTTGGGTCAAACTTCAGGAAGGCATTTTGGGGTAGTATGTTGCAAATATGACAACTTCAAGCTCTTTTTCTTATTTTGTGGATTTTCTCCAATGAAATGCATTAGATCCACTTCTATAAAGAAATAAATTAATGATTTAAAATATTAAGAAAACCAAAGCTCACTACATGTAGCAATACCAGGACTTGGGATTCGCTGTTGCTTTTTGTATCTCATTCTCCATTTTCTTAGTTGAACCTTAGTAGAAATGTCCAATTTTCTTTTTTCCAAACCAGTTTTTCAGATGGAATTTTGTTCTTTGTATAGAGAAGGAGGCTTGCAGTGCCTGTGGAATCTGATGGTCTTCTTTCACTGAGTCACAGAACTAAGCTATCAGAGGAGAAGAGCTAGTGGCCAGGGACTACTACCTTTGCATCTCATCTCCTGGACAGAGCTACCAGAAAGCTGACTGAACCAGTGATGCTTTAACACTCAGGGGTAACCCCAGGGTGTATGGTAAATACGGAGCTGGCAGGCTCTGCCTCGGTATGGCCATGAGCTCGGAGTCTAGGTTCCTGGTAATGTTGGTGTTGATGCTTATGTCTGTGCCCCACCCCCCAATCATAGGTGCTCTAAAGGCTTATCCCACCCATGGATTCCATCGTCATACATTCTTGTCTCTTTATTTACTTCTTCTTGCATCCAGAAAGAATGAGTCCTGAGGTGTGGTAACCATGAGTGTGGGGTCAGGAGGGGCATTTGTCAGGGGTCTTTCCATTGCCCTGTCTTCACTACAGAGCAGTTAATTCAGTGTCTGTGTGGAGTCAGGATCAGTGTCTTTCAAAGAACTCCCTCCCCCAGTGACCCTGCCACACAGTCACATTTGTGAGATCCTTGCCTGGAAAGCGACTCCTGTGTTCTCACCTCAGCTCCCCCAAGTTTGGGATTCAAACCAGGTGCCAGTTGCTTCCCTCTTCTACTTGTTTCCTCCTTTTTTAAAGTGAAAAATTGCAGCTCTGAAATTACATTTAACTCCATAAATCACTATGTAGGGCCCAAGATGTAGAGATATATTAAAATTTATGAAATATCATAATAATAAGTATCTTACAGACTGTTTCTGATATTTCTAATGTCCCAGTGTTCATTGTATTGTACACAATAGATTATAATATAGAAATGATTCAAAACTAGGAAGCATTAAGCAATAAATTCTAGTGAGAAGAAATACATGCAATAGCGTATTCGATAAAAAATACATATTAATTTTATCTTTGTTGACCTTTGTGAATAGAATTAGTCACTTGCCAATGTTAGGCAAGTGTTTTCTCAGTGGTCCCCAACAAAGTTGCTTACCATTGTGATGAGCAGGATTCTGTCCAGGCAGGTGAATCCAAGAACAGTCACCCCAAGTATTTATACAGGGCAGAGTCACCACTCATTGGACATCCTGGAAGAGATAACTGGCCAAGAAGACACCAAGTATTTACAGAGGACTGTTTAATGATGTTTTCAGATGATTTATCAGATTTTTATATATTTACCAGATCCCCATGCAATGTCTTTGACCTTTTCTGCAACTATATGTTTGCAGAAAACCTGAAAGAGCAGAAAAACAAAGAACTGTCTTTCCCTGAGCACTTACTGTACAGTTGGTAGATTCCTAGGGACAGGTCATGTGGACACTTGATTGCACTCAGAAAGATCACACTCCAGTATGCAAGCCACAGGCCAGGTTCTGAAGGTGGTTTTGTGAAGCCATAAACATATCCCAGCAGGTAATCTTGGTGGCCCTCAAGGTCTGAGCAGAGAGGCTCAGAAGGTCTGGTATGAGAGAGCAGAAATGCACCAGACATCCTCTCCCTCCAACAGGCTCCTGTCCCAGTCACGATTCTCTGTGGGGAGACACTTTCCACTCCCTTTAGTCTTGCATTTGTACACAAACATCTCTCCACCTCTTTCTCCGACATCATAACAAATTTTCTGTGTGTGAAGTGCTGCCAGCTCTTGGGTTGTGTTTTGTCAATTGCATTGCTTTCTAAAGGACCCAACCCGACTAGTTTTCCTTCAGGATCCCAATCCCTCCTATTGCAGACTGCTCTTTCCTTTCTGCAACACACTCACACTGAGGGTACATGGGACAAAGAGTGTCATACGATTCACCTATGTGCTCAATCCTGAGCTTTGCATCTTTCCCCAGAATACTTA